AAACAATATCAATGTAAATGGTAAGGATACAAGCAACAAAGTTACAGTCCTGCAGTCCTAAGTGGGAGGAGATGGGTGATTGGTAGGATGAGAAGACTAATAGTAATGCTGCCTTAGTGAATGGTTTGACAGTTATTGAGGGAATTATTTGTTTAGCAGAGTGATGGCATTCGGAGAAAAAAAACTGTCCTTGTGTCTAGTTGTCTTGGTGTGCACTGCTCTATAGAGTCGTTTTGATGGTAGGAGTTGAAACAATTTATGTCCAGGATGCGGGGGGGGGGGGTGTAAATATTTTCACATCCCTCTTTTTGACTCGTGCAATGTACAGGTCCTCAATGGAAGGCAGGTTGACAGTAATTGTTTTTTTCTGCAGTTCTGATTATCCTCTGAAGTCTGTGTCTGTCTTGTTGGGTTGCAGAGCCAAACTAGATAGTTATAGAGGTGCAGATGACAGACTCAATAATTCCTCCGTAGAACTGTATCAGCAGCTCCTTGGGCAGTTTGAGCTTCCTGCCAACAGGAAGAGGAAAGGAAGAAATATTTCAATGTTTTTTTGCACCATAAATATTGATAGGTTATATTTGTTAGATTTACAGCAGTTCTTTGCTCCTGAAACAAGGCAGTTCACTGCCTCCTCCATTTTTTCCCCTTGAGGGAAAGAAAGGACTCAACTGGCTCAGAAAGATTTGGGTATATCTGATCTTCTAATCCAGTGATTCCAACACCACAGCCTTTGTTAAAATGGTGAGAGGCTGCAGATGTATTTTTTTTGCAGCATCTTTAAAAAGCACAGATTTAGGGAGTTGAAAACTTCAGGTTGTAATCCATTTAGATATATGTAATAATATGTATTTATTTATATTCATGTATTAAATTCATATGCCGCCTGTCTTTCCCCAAAAGGAGACTCTGGTCAGCTTAAGCAATATGCTTAAGAAATAAGCACAGCTGCTCATACGTTTCAGAGCTATCCTCTGAAAATCCTGCTAGCCATGTAAAATATTTTTAAAGCATTGTTGATGATGTTGGAGACTCCCCAAATTTGGGCTGGATTAGAAAACCTCTAAAGGTTCTTTCCAACCCTGTAATTCGAAGATGTCAATGGGTGGTAAACTGTAGCTTTCATCAGTCCAAATCCAATTTGGCTCCTGGCTATGTTGGCTTGGCTTAGAATTTCTACCCAAATACACTTGGATGACATCAAAGTAAGGAGATCTATGCTGATATATTTTTTTGGAAATGCAATCAAACCACAAAATGACCCTCCACCCCAAAAAAACATAATCTCTGGGCAGAAGTTGAATTTATAACTAATTGAAAGCAATTGGACATTTTTCTTTATTATAGAAACAGTGCTATCTAAAAACATTGCTTTTCGATCACTTCGCAGCTGGGTTCAGCTGAATCATTTAAACTTAAAATACTGCATTGCTTGGGACACAAAATCCTAAATGGATTGACTTAAAAAGAAAGTCCTTATACTTAAAGAACTTATTTTCATTCTGTAGCAAGCCTATTTAAATCCAGAGGTCTTCATTCTGTTGCCTAGCGGGTGGGCACTTCCTAGCATATGAAATATGTTTGCATCTATAAAGAGGTGTTTGATTTATATCAAGATGAAAAATTGGGGTAGGACAAACCCAAAGACCGAGATCAGATGTATGAATTGGGCTTGGAAAAAGCAAGGGGAAAGTTGAACCAATATCACAAGATATGCCTATTTGAATTTCAACCTGACTCTATTCTTAAGTTTCACTAAGGGGAAACAGGCAGAATAACAGAACAGAGTTGGAAGGGATCTTGGAGGTCTTCTAGTCCAACCCTCTGCTCAAACAGGAAATCCTATAGCATTTCAGACAAATGCTTGTCCAATCTCTTCTTCAAAACCTCCAGTGTTGGAGCACCCACAACTTTGTTCCACTGACTAATTGGTCTAATGGTCAGGAAATTTCTCCTTATTTATAGATTACTTGTTTCTTGTTCTGCCTTCAGAACAAGGCGAGTAGCTTGACTCCCCCTTCTTTATGGCAACCCCTTAAATATTACAACATTGTTATTATGTCATCCCTTTTCATTATACTAGGCTTTCTTTCTTTTTTTCACTGTAGTCTCCTCCCAGGTGTGGAAGGCTAGAAGTTCACTCTTATTTCATATTCTTTGCTGCATTTTATAGAGTGATAGAACATAATGGTTGGAAATGACATTAGAGATGTTCTAACCTCCTACACACTACAGAAATCCATCATGACAGTGTTTCTAAGGAATGGCCATCTAGCCTTTATTTAAACTCCTTCAACAAAGAAGAGTCTATTACCTTCTGATAAAGTTCATTATGTTGTTTTTATTAGGATGTTTCCCCCCCCCTTGATATCCAATTAAAATCTATTTTTCCATGTAATGTAACTTCTATCTCCTAGAACAAGTCTAAACAACTCTCATTTTCTACATGATGTCTATTTAAATACTCAAAGATCGCATTATGTCTCTTTCACTGTCCCCTCTTCTCCAGATAAACATAAATTCACATCTCTGAGCTAGCTTCTTATCATTTGGTCTCTTCTCTCTGGGCATTTTCCTCAATGTTCTTTTCCAAATATGGTGTCCAGAACTGGTCATAATATGCCGGGTCTGATCTGATCGACGGAAAATAGGGAGGAAGATGATTTCTCTTGATCTCGATATCATCTTTCTATCAATGTAGCATAGGACTCAATTTTCTGCATTTCAATCACATTGCTAGCTCATTTTCAATTCATGATCCACCAAAATATTCAAAACTCTTTTTACAAGTAGGTTCTCAACCCCGCCCCCTTGCTATTCTCAATTCTGTCCTCATTGCATTGGTTTTTTCTATCCAGTGTAGGAATTTTTTTTTTATTTTTGTTGACATTTATCCCGATTTCTGCCTATTATTGCAACTTGCAACCAAGGAAGATGGGAAGTTAAGAAATGATAGATAGCTAGATAAATAGCTAGCTAGAGAGAGAAAGTGTGTGCATGAGAGAGGGGGTAGGGGGTAGATAGACAGACAGACAGATGATAGAAAGTAGATAGATGGGTAGGTAGGTAGGTAGGTAGGTAGGTAGCTGGATGAATGATAGATAGATAGATAGATAGATAGATAGATAGATAGATAGATAGATAGATATAGAGAGATAGATATAGACGATAGATAGAGAGATAGAAAATGATAGATAGATAGATAGATAGATAGATAGATAGATAGATAGATAGATAGATATAGAGAGATAGATATAGACGATAGATAGAGAGATAGAAAATGATAGATAGATAGATAGATAGATAGATAGATAGATAGATAGATAGATAGATAGGTAGATAGATATAGAGAGATAGATATAGACGATAGATAGAGAGATAGAAAATGATAGATAGATAGA